AAGATTTGGGGTTTTTTTTTGTTTGTTTTAGTCTGGGTATTGAACCCATGGGCATTTTACCACTGAACCACCTCCCCAGCCCTTTTTATTTTTTATTTAGAGACAGGGTCTTGCTTAGTTGGTTAGGGCCTAAGTTGTTGAGATTGGCCTCGAGCTTGCTATCCTGTCTCAGCTGCTAGAGTCACTGAGATGATAGGCTTCTGCCACTATGCCTGGCAAAATTGTCTTATTGAGGCTATTGAGAATGCTTCTGCCTATTCCATATTCTGCATGGCCTGGACCAGACATCTACATGTGAGACATTCTTAAATTAGATTTTGAATTGGGAGTACCTATATGCTCTCACAGTTAAAAAATGTGAAAAATTCACAGAGTAATCTTGAGTGAGGGAGTGAGATGTTTGTATATTTTGAAATTTCCTAAACAGATATTAATGTTGGAAATTATTTATTATTCCATTATCAGACAGCATAGTCACATATTTAGTGATCTTTTTAAATGTGTCTCCTCCTACCTTGTCTCTTTTTAAAAATCTTTAGTTCTTAAAATTATTGATACTGCTTAGTTTTTTAAATGCAAAGAATTTAATTTACTTAACTCAAAAATATTATAAAGTTAATAGTTAAAACATTTAACTCCATAATTGTGCTATTTTAATTCTTTATCAGGCATAATTATTTTTGTTTCAAGATATTTTCATTATGTTGGAGCTAATTTTCTTTTTGTGGTGCTAGGGATCAAACTCAGTGTCTTGTGCATGCTAGGCAAGCTCTGTACCACTGAACTATATCCTCAGCCTTGCTTGAGCTAACTTTTAAATATTTCATAACCTCTGTTCTTCTGAAGATAGTGTAATTCCTGGCAAAGTGGTATTTGGGAAAGTTACATATAGAATATAGAAGAGTACATGCTTTGGATTCTAGGAGATGTAAATTCTAATTCTCTTCAATTGTAGATTCGTTTCTCAGCATCTAATTTTTTTTAACCTATAAAAGAAGGCAAATGAAATCTGCTTGCCTTACAGGGTTACTAAAATTACATAATGTAGATTGGCATGGCAACATGTACTATTGTAGGAATGGGCTAAGTAGGAACAAGTAGAGAAAGCTTTCATGTTGTATTTCTTTCCTGAAATCTTCCCTTTCATTGTCAGATTTCTTAATAGAATCATCTCACAAGCATTACTTTTAACCAAATCTCAGTCATTCTTGTAAAAAAAATCAGTAGTATTTAGTATTTATATTGTTATGACTATATAAATGTTCTTCAATCTGAGTCAGGTAATTATTACTATGAGTGTATTTCTTTCTTGAATAGTTTTTTGCTCCCTTCTGGAATGATAATTGCTTTAATTTTCTTTTTGGTTCGTTCTTTCCCAAACACTTCAGGTTATCCATCAAATCCACTTTTAAATTCCTTTCTTTTCTTGGAAATAATCTGGGAACCTTCAACCTTCCTATTCCAAATCTGGACTGGGTACTCTCTAAGCCTGCTGCAGAGAGCTTTCATCCTATCTGTTCCTTTCATTATCATTCTGGGAATTTCCTTGTCTCCTGTTTTGGATCACATTTCCTGGTTCCTGTTTTCTCCTGTTTCTTGATTTATTCCCTTGTTTTGGTATAGCATATCCTCTGCCACCCACCTCCTACCCCTATAGTCCCCAAGCTCCTCCAAGCACCAAATCCTCTTTTAAGGCAGCTCTCTTACAATACCTGTGATTTTCTTTTCCCTTCAGTTTTCCTGTTAGATTGACCTCACCCTTTTGTGCCTGTATAGTATTCTCTATTATATAGCCTAGCTCCATCATAACTATTGTGCACTTCTTCTACATGTTAGGTGTTCAACACCAGAGATCATAAGATGAGAGCATGAGGTTCCTGTTCCCAAGGTAGTTCTAGAAGATAAAGAATACTAGAGTTCTCCTTGGAGCAGGTACTGCCCCCTAGTGGTCCTTTTTAAAAAGTTGGGGGACATTTTTGAGTTACCATAGTAATGAGAAGGGTATAGCTGGCATTTCATACTCAGGCCAGGGATACTAAATGTCTTATATGTCCTGCACAACTTTAGAATATCCCTTCAGACATTCATGTGTGACAATCTGTATTCAAACTTAGGACCTAACTACGTTTTGTATACAAGCCCAATCTACTTTTGCATTGCGTGTGTAACAGATGGAAAGCTTTGTTGTTCAGCAATATATAAGTTTATAGACCAAAAAAGTAATGAGGTGTTTTAGGAATTCTTTACATTAGTCATTGATAGTTCTTAGTCTCTAAGAATCTTCCAATTAGAGAATCATAGTGAAGGCTTCACAAATTGGTGAACATAATTATTGGTACTGTTAATAAAACATTGAATAGAATCACTCAGGTGATAGATCATTTTGTAAACTATGCAGTAACAATGAAGAAGATTAGGATTGCCTTACTATATAAGTAAAAGTAAGATAACTTTCTACAGTAAATGCTAAAATATATTGTGTTCATTGTGTGTGTGTGTCTGTGTGTTGGTATAACGTGCAGTGCACAGCTTGGTGAATTTATACACATATATACATGTACCTGCCACCTTGATTTAGGTATACAGTATCTGCATAGTTGGAAAGAAGGATATACTTATTTTTAAGCTCTGCATTTTCAAATAATGTTCCCATTATGTTTATAATTATACAATAAATATAGTTTGGAGTATCAAAAGAATCTGAAAGCATAAGTAAAATAGTGTATTTGTTACATTTTTTTAGATTAACAATAGGGCCTATTGCTTTAAAAAAGATATTGAGCATATCATTTGAAAATGGAACTAACACATGTGTATCCTGTTTCCTAATTTTATAGACACTCTGTGTAACATTCCAGTATCTTCCAGTATCCCCAAAAGTTTCCTTATACCTCTTTTTGGTCAGTATTCTACTTCTACTAGAGGTGACCACTTTTCTGACTTACATCATTATAGATTTGTTTTATCTGTTCTTGAACTTCGTATAAATGGAATTGTACAGTTATGTACTCTTGTGTTGCCTTCTTTAGCTCTGAGTTGTTTCTTTGAGATTTCATCCATGTTTTAAGGGTAGTAAAAAAGTTTTTTTCATTGTTGTGTAGTATTCTACCATGTGTCTATAAACAGTTTATTCTATTCTTCCACTAATTGTCATTTGGATTGTTTGAAGATTTGGGCTATATGCGTAGTGCAACTCTGAATATTCATATACTGTTTTTGTACTCATTTCTTATGGGTATAAATCTAGAAATAGTTTTTGTGTCATGTGATAGGCATATATTTAGTCTTTATAGCTACTGCAGAAAGTTTTCCAGTTTACATTTCAATCAGCAGGCATGGTAATTGTTCCACTTGCTTCATATCCTTACCAACACTTGATATTGTTAGTGTATCATATAAGGCTCAGTCAAAAACTGAAAGTTTAACATGGTATCATATCTTTAGATATATTTGAAATTTTAAATGAGGTTTGTTTTAGTTGCAAAGAAATATCTGCATATATTTAAAAATAAATCACTGTATTACTCACCAGTTACTATAACAAATACTTGAAATAATCAACTTATGAAAAGAAAAGGTTTATTTCAACTCACAGTTTTAGAGGTATCAGTCCACGATCAGTTGGCCTTATCATGGCACATCGTGACAGGAATGTGCAACAGAATAAAACTTCTCACCTCATGGCTAGTAAGGGAAAGAGAGAAGAGGAAGGTACTGGGATTCCACAATCCCCTTGTGGAAGACAAACCCCCAGTGGCTTGAAGCCCTCCTGCTAGACCCCACCTCTAAATATTTCCACCATCTCCTAATAGTGCCAAACTGGGGACCAAGCCTTTAACACACGAGTTTTTAGGGGCATTAAAGATCCAAACTATAGCACTTGCTGAGAATTTTAATTTTCACCTAGCATAGGCCTTAATATATTGATTTGAAAATTGCTTTCATGTTGTACTAGTTATCAGTTGTAGCCTAACAAATTATCTAGAAAATTATACTACAAATGAACAGAAAAGAACAAAAACGGGGGCTGGGGTTGTAGCTCAGTGGTAGAGCACTTGCCTAGCATGTGTGAGGTGCTGGGTTCAATTCTCAGTACTGCATATGGATAAATAAAATAAAGGTCCATCAACAACAAAAAAATTTTTTTAAAAAGAACAACAATGGTATATTATAAAAAATTAAACAAAAAGAAGGCAGTAACAAAGGAACCCAGGAACAAAAATGGTATAATAATATACAAAAAAAAGATACCAAAGTGGCAAAAGTCCTTCTTTATTAATAATTACCTTAAATATAAATGGACTAAAAACTCTCTAATTCAAAGTAGAAGTTGGCAAATGGAGAAAAAAGACATGATTGAACTATATTCCGTCTAGAGAGAGTCATTTGAAATCCAAAGGCATGAACAGGTTGAAATTGAAAAAATGAATGAAGATATTCCATGCAAACAGTAACCAAAACAGAGCTCTTGTTGGGTTAATAATTGATAGAGCTTCTGAATTGATTGACTTCCTTTTATCAATAAAGTCTTTTTGATAACAACTTTTGACTTAGAGTTTATTTTGTTTGATATTAGTATAACCACCATAGCCTGATTGTATATCTAAGTTCAAAAATCTTTTGCTTAAGTATTAACCTATATTCTAAAATATGATGATGGTGTTCAGAGATGTTAGATATGATGGTAGATAATATATAGAATGAACATTGCACTCTCTTCTAGGAGCACACACTATTAGGACTGCTCATGGTAGAATCTTGTCTACTACCTTATGCCTCTAACTTTTAGTTTTACTTTACTGTTTTAATGTTCTTATAGTCTTTTCATTTATCCAAATTAACTTACTAGGATGTTTGTTTTAATAGATTACAAGGCAATCTAAGGAAGATTAAGTTAAAGCAAATGGTCCTAACAGATTTGTGTCCAGATAGCATCTGAATGCTTCTATGATTTGCTGTTTGATTAAAAAACCTAATATTGCTTGGTGATGTTTTTGTAGATTCTCGCATGGAAAGTCTGAAATGCAGAGGGGAAACCATAGCTAAGGTGATCAGTGAAGCCGTCAAGGTAAAAACTATGTGATAAAAAAGTATAAAGTGAACAAAATGAATGACTACTTATTTACTCTCAACATCTATATGTGTTTTAGTGTATTATAATTCTTAGTCTTTTAAATAGATGTTTAATGGGCTGGGGCTGGGGCTCAGTGGTAGAGTGCTTGCCTCTAGCATGTGTGAGGCACTGGTTTTATCCTCAGCACCACATAAAAATAAATTAATAAACAAAGATATTGTGTGTCCCTCTACAACTAAAAAATATTTAAAAATAAATAAATAGATGTTTAATAAATGTATCAAGCAACAATAAAATTCAGAACACTTTATTAGGCACATTAAAGGTATATTAAAGGTTGGTATTATTATCCAGAATCATCTAATGGGCTGAGTATTAGCCTCCCATTAGATGATTCTGGATAATAATACTAGCTAACATTTATTGTCTACTTGGAGTGAATCAGGCACCATGTAACTGCTTTACATTTATTACTTCATTTAATCCTTATACTAACCCTATGTTATAGGTACTATATTTCCCCCATTTTACAGATAAGGAAACTGAGATGCTAAGGTAGCCAAGCCAGGATTTAAACCGTGAATGTTTGGCTCTAGAATTTATATATTTTCTCTCTCTCTCTCTCTCTCTCTCTCTCTCTCTCTCTCTCTCTCTCT